TCAGGTTAACTGTGCATTGACAGGTTAACTGTGCATTGTCAGGTTAACTTGTGTACTGTCTGCAGTGCATGCGTGGTACGGTAAAAATACACGCGTCGGATGTCCTGGTCGAATGGCAATTCTTGATGATCGATTCCCGCGCTGGCAAACTTTTATTGTGGTGGAATTTAAACGTGGCGGAGGTAATTTAAACGGGGCGCAACGATTCAAACACTAGTTACAGGGGGGGAGTTTTCCCAAACGGGGCGCGCGCGCCCCGTTTGCGCAACGTAGGGAGAACCCTGGATGTTATACTAGAGACACACTCATACACAGACTCAGTGACCATCTAGTGTGGAAGTTCAGAATATTTTTACTCGGCCAAATACAGTACATCAATACAGCTGTCGTGAAACCTTCATATGTATTAGTATAGACTATAGCCTATAGGGACTTCGTATATGCGTGCATAGGATTATACTTAAGTTATACTAAGTGCACTAACGGACGAAGGGTCGTTGTCGTATAATGGCGTATAATATGTATACCCGAGGTAACTATTTGATATGGTTAGGGTACGTTAGGGTTAGAGTGTTAGGGTTAGAGAGTAGGCGACATACTCGCCGACACCTCGGGTACTATAATACTATACTCGGGTACATATACGACAACGACCCCTTCAGGCTCAGCGCCACTAACCACTTGCGTCTGAAGGTTTTCCATCTCAAATCTACTGTTCTGCTGACACTGTTCATAGTTTCGTTTGACATCGTCATGCTCCTTGCTTAGCACGCTCAAGTCGCGATCCAGTTTCTTCCGGCCTGTCTTTTCAGTGTCTAGAGTCGTCTCTGTATCCAGCACCTTTCTCTTCAGTGCTTCATTGTGTTTTTCGGCAGCACCCTTCTTCAACACACAGTCTCGCACTCTCTGCTGACCGTCAATGAGATCAGTCTGTATTGATGCGTTAGTGGATTGCAAGCTCCAATAGCTAAATCCCAGAATACATATAACAAAGACTAGACCAAAGATAAGGAATGGCGGTGCTCTGCTTCCGTACCTCATGCCGCGACTTGATGATGCAAGCGAACTTTTAGATCTTGTTGGAAGTAGATGCTCATCTGCCATCACAACACCACGAAACCACAGTGATTTCCCGACACAGTGTACACCTACAGCGAGACGAACTTTCACGCCATGACCACACTAAAATATTTCTGCGTGTAGAAACGTAAATAAATTGTAATAACCTGTAGTTGAAAATTCTGACTATATTTTTTAAATATTCACATTAAATTTAATGTAGGGTATTTTGCCGTTATAAATAGTCAAGTAATTGAGTGCATGGAAAATCTCTTGATTTTATATCAAACATGTCTGCCCCCTGATACACAAAAAGGTGTTTATTTTCTGTGATTCTCTCTTCTCTGAGACTCCGAGTCCGTTCACAACTGGTTCCTTATTTTTTCATCTATTTGGGTATATAATTATATAATATTCATGCTGCTTACTGATACTTTGTTGTATTGATAGTCGTTACTCATGTCGTTACTTTACGTCTTTAGTGAAAATACTACTACTACTAGTACTAGTAGTCTAGTACTACTACTATACTACTATACTACTATACTACTATACTACTATACTACTCTGAGACTCCGAGTCCGTTCACAACTGGTTCCTTATTTTTTCATCTATTTGGGTATATAATTATATAATATTCATGCTGCTTACTGATACTTTGTTGTATTGATAGTCGTTACTCATGTCGTTACTTTACGTCTTTAGTGAAAATACTATTACTAGTTTAATTTTTAATTTTATGCGGAATGGGAATGCGGCAATGCCATTTGCATTGCATTTACAGACACAGCAGTGTCAGCACAGGCGCTTGGAACGTCTCAGAAAAAAAAAAGTAAACAGTTAACTCCTTAAAAAAAAAGAGCCTCCGTGGCCCAGTGCCAGTGGCAGTGGTAGGCATCGTGCACTGTCCACTGAATACTGCGAGTTCAAACCCCGGCCGGGGCAGTGAATTTTCTCAAGGTGTAAAAACCTGGCTCTCAACATTGGAGACTGTGAATCTCCCGTGGCGTGGATAACCACGTAAAATGGCGGTCCTGTCTCCAGAAATACTAGCCAATGGGGACGTAAAAGAACCACTGAGGGCGCAAAAGGAACCAAGGCCGTACGCAGGAAATTTTCTGTAGGGGGGCAAAGGTACTCCCCATGCCCCCTGTGCCCTAAAGTTTTGCAATTTGACATTTCTTTATTTAAAGTAATATTTCTTTGATGAATTAAGATAACCTTTTGTCACATTTCTATTTTATTTGTAAAAGTGTACAGTATTTGTCTCAATAAAAGGCATACTCTGAAAATCTCTAGGGTGGGCAACTGCCCCTGCTGCCCTCCTGCTGCGTACGGCCCTGAAAGGAACTCTGGCTGTGACCACCCTCAGTGCCATTGGCTAAAAGCTGACTACCTGGCTTTACCCCAAGCTAGGTCACACCTCATGGCTAGCTATAGCTCGTTGCCTCGATGCCAAATTTGGATACTGCAACGTAATACAACAGAAACAGAAACAGAAACAGAAAAAAAACACGAAATGTATTTACTACTAAAGTCTTAATGTTTCTCTAGTCTATTTCGCCTATTATTGCTGATAACTTTCTGTAAATGCCGTTCAAATGCTCATCTGTAACACACAAGTACACCGCACGCCCGCCCTGTGCACAAACATGAATAAGAGAGCAGGTAGGAAAGCGTGATCGCAAAATTCGCTCGACGCTCGCTTCATTTCACACGACAACAGTCCAAAAACACATCCAGCAGCTTCCATCTTGGTATTTATGTGTAGCTAAATGTTCACTGGTTCGAATTATAACTTCCCCTGTTTCTTATTCCTTTGTTCTTACCTACTCCCACCAGAGATATCTCGTGAAGTCTTGCAGGAAATATTCTCTCCTTGAAAAATGTAAAGAGGACGTATCATCCGAAAATCCCTAACGGCGCTACTTTCGATGGATCACTGTAGTCGTGTGTGGGACATCATGCCCGCGCGCATTATGCTTGGCTTGGCGGGTCTCGAAACGGAGGCTCTTAGGCAGGCAGCAGCTCATCCCAGCATGCAATGCGCCCCATTACTCGTGTATAAACAGACATCTCGTTCTCTTTACATTTTCACGGAGAAAACATTTCCTGCCGGATTTCACGAGATATCTCTGTCAGGAGTAGGTAAGAACAAAGGCCAGAGTTATAATTCGAACAAGTGAACATTTAGCTAGACATAAATACCAAGATGGAAGCTGTTGGATGTGTATTCGTGATGTAAAGGTGTGAAATGAAGAAAGCATCGAGCGAATTTTGCGATAGACCTTATCGCTAATCGGTAAATATCACCAGATGGTGCACCACTGGACACGCATGATGGGATGGAAAAGGAGGCATCGATCGGCGCTCATACGTAATATATGCACGGCTATGGGTGATAGGAAACGGTACTAACTATCATATCTCGCGAACGAGTTGAGTTACATTTCTAGAAATCTAGAGGAATATAGACACATGTCTTAGCTATAATCTCTGTGAATCTTCAGTTTGTTGAAGCACGATTAGTCTAGTTAATTACTAAATATATGCGAGCGGTATCGCGCATAGGCGCCTATTGCGTGCAGCCGGCTATACGCACGGCTATGGGCGATAGGAAAGGGTACTAACTATCATATAACGCAAATCAGTTGAGTTACATTTCTAGAAATTTAGATGAATATAAACACGTCTTAGCGATAATCTGTGAATTTTCAGTTTGTTGAAGCACGATTAGTCTAATTAATTACTAGGGCTGTAACGATACACAAGCCTCTCGATTCGATCCGGTTCTCGATATTAGCCTCTCGATTCAATTTCTTCGATTCGATTCCCAAAATATTGAAATGTTATCTTATTTTTTATATTTTCATTATTTTGCAATAATAAATTATTAGAAATTGCCAATGAATACTAAATGGTGAATAGACTAGAGAGTCTAGAGAGTATATATCATAGAGATGTATACTATTTATACATCTCTAGGGTATATATACACTGCACAGTCGCTGAGTAAAATTGGTGAGTAACACTCCACAATATATAGCGTAGTGCCGCCATCTATTGGAGGAAAAAAGTGGTATCGAAGTGGAATCGAAAATACGGGGAACGGATCGAGGATCGGATCGAGGGAAGAGAATCGCGATCCGATCCGATTTCGGTGGATCGTTACAGCCCTATTAATTACTAAATATATGCGAGCGGTATCGCGCATAGGCGCCGATTGCGTGCAGCCGGCTATACGCACGGCTGTGGGCGATAGGAAAGGGTACTAACTATCATATCTCGCGAATGAGCTGAGCTACATTTCTAGAAATCTAGATGAATATAAACACATGTCTTAGCTATAATCTCTGTGAATTTTCAGTTTGTTGAAGCACGATTAGTCTAATTAATTACCAAATATATGCGAACGGTATCGTGCATGCATACTGACGCCTATTGCGTGCAGCCGGCTGCTAACCGCTCGTGGCGGCGGCGGCGCTAGTAATGCCCCTGTTCCTATCCCATGATGCATTGCTGTTCCGATTGGCGATAAGGCTTATCACGCTTTCCTACCTGCTCTCTTATTCATGTTGTTTGTGCACAGGGCGGTGTACTTGTGTGTTGCAGATGAGCATTTGAACAGCATTTACAGCAAGTTATCGGCAATAATAGGCGAAATAGAGTAGAGAAACATTAAGACTTTGGTAGTAAATACATTTCGTGTTTACATTTTTTTTTTTTATTGAGACGTTCCAAGTGCCTGTGATTGCATTGTCATTGGCATAGCTCTAGTAGTAGTACTAGTAGTAGCTAGCATTGGCATTGCTATGACAAGTATAATTTAAAGTAAATATTAAGTATATAATAAATAAGTAATATACTGGTACTGTATACTACTACTAGTAGTATTACCGTACATGCATGTGGTCTTGCAAGATATGATCCTTTATTGGAGCTGGGAGTGGGAGAGCCCCGACTTCGTCATATATCGGTTTCAGAAATGCAGCTCAGGGTCAGGTCTGGCGAACAGACTTCAGTTCAAGTACAAACTCTTCAGTCTTCTAGTATTATCATAATTATGATCATATCGTGAATCGTGTATCATATCCGAATGTTGTATTGAAGGAATCTACTGTTAATCAGAAGAAAGTCCTACAGTCTTGTCAATTTGCTAATTATGCCCCCAAATTGCATACAATGGCATTGACAATGTACATCTTGCTTATAGTTGTATCACACTCACAGGCGGTCTGCTTTTTGTTCTTAGCTAGCATGGCGATGGAGATGCAGCACAACTGGGTAGATGTGACTGACACATTTCGGACCTCCTGCACAGAGCTGAAGCTAGGAGAGCTAGTCCACGACCAGTAGTAAGTTATTGAGATGACATCCGATACCAGATTCCCAGCATGTTAACAAGGGGGCGTCCTTACTGAGTTACTCCAACATAAAAAAAGAAGAAATCTTATGGCCTTGTAACCTCGTAAATATTAGTCTTCAAAGTCCAAGGGACTATATCGAAGATGGAAAGAGACAAAGTTGATCAAATAGACAGGTCAACACTATCGCAGTAAAGAAAGCCTCAAGTTTGCAACTAACTAAAGAGTATGGGAGAGAATTCCAATACGGAATGACAGAGATAAAGAAACTCAACTTGAAGGGATCCTTTGAAGATGGCACATGTTGAAAGCAATGGTCACGCGCAGATGACCGAGTGCAATTCTTATGTGGGAAATATCGAAAACCGGACGAGCTCAAAGACATTTAGTAGTTACTGATTATTGTTTTATGAGAAATGGTCAATTTTAGCGCTAGCCATCGCTCTGAAACATTTCATCGATCACTGTATCTTATTTGCAGTTTTGGCCTCTTTGAGGCGATGTCGGCCATTGAGATGATGGACCCGAAAATGGACGCAGGCATGCTGTGTCATCAGAGCCACCTGGTGATGGGATTCGACAAGTCGATTAACGCCGGAAAGTTGAAGAAGCGTAACGTCTTGATGCCGGAGCTGATCGCAATCATAGACGACACGTACGCGTGCTTGGTAAGTCCGGGGGCTCTCGCAAACAGCCGAGGTTCGAGCCGATACCCGATCCCAACTTGACGGCCCACCCCTCTGAATGTCTCGGTGCCACGTGCATCCTGCATCGAATTGCTTTCCTCTTCCCGGTAGCGAATCAGGACGTTTCGACTCCATATCGACGGTCATGTCGGTCGCATTTTGCCGGTGTCGGATTTAGACATGATGAGGTGCTGATCTATGGGAAGATGTAGAGGCCCTATTCGGCTGATAGAGAATAAGGCTGTGTAACAACTGATCTTGGCAAGAATATCGGCAAGATGCATGACAAATGAGTGCGAGGTGCGGGGGAAGGGTTGCTCCTTTAAAACGTTAAATCTAGTAAGAATTGATAATAAAGCACAATTATAAAATAAAGAAATCCTACAAACTTGTGCAAATTATTATCTTTTTTTAATAAGTGGTTCTAATTTGTTAATGCTAATTCTTGTTAATTAGGTCAAATCATAACTTAGATATAAATTATAATAAAATTCTAACAAATGTAAAACAAATATCCCAGATTTTGAGAGGCACTTCAGACTGTGAGGCTCCCTAAGCTGTAGCTTTTTTACGTTATGCCTGAATCCGGGGCGGCGCTGCGTTTCACATGTAACCTGTTTACGTTATGCTGAAATCTGTCCCTGGGTTTCACATATCACCGGTATTTACGTTATGCCGAAATCTGTCCCTGCGTTTCACAGGTCACCTGTGTTTACGTTATACGCCTGAATCCCACCCTGCGTTTCACATATCACCTGTGTTTACGTTATATGCCTGAATCCCACCCTGCATCTCACAGGTCACCTGTGTTTACGTTATGCCGAAATCCGTCCCTGCATTTCACATATCACCTGTATTTACGTTATATGCCTGAATCCGTCCCTGCATTTCACATATCACCTGTATTTACGTTATATGCCTGAATCCGTCCCTGCATCTCACATATCACCTGTGTTTACATTATGCCTAAATCCGTCCCTGCGTTTGAACTTTTCACAGGTCACCTGGCTCGAGGGGCATTCGCTCGCGCAGACGTTGTTCACGAACCTCTACCTGCACAAGGTGCACGACGTCGACGACCGGCAGGTGAAGGCGTTCTCGATCGCGATGCTCAAGATCGTCGACATCCTCCGCGAGATCGTCAGCCGCGCGTCCGTCTTCGAGGAGGTAAACAAGTGAACGTGCGCGTCGATCATCTTGCACGTTATCTGGGTGGTCCTCGCGGATGAAGGACCGTCTTGCCCGCGGCGTTAGCAGAGCGAGGTCGGGGCAATTTTTGTGCGCCTCGGACGACGACGATCGTTGGCCCGATTTGTAATTTCGCTCGTTGTAGCTTTTGTTCCGTGAATGTCCATGCAAACGACGCTGTACAGAAGTGTCGTCTGCGACTATCGAGTATCGATATGCTAAAGATTAATATTTACTTTTGGTATCGATTATGCAAAAGTGAACGTTGATGCTGTCGTTAAATACCGGTTTTCTAGTCTGATTCGGTTTTTGATTCCGTTGGTTTGATATGTGGTTAAATAGGAGGACTTCCAGCCACTTACGTACGGGTTCAAAATGGCTGCCGACATATCGGAAGTGCGGACAATCGGAATGGTGAAAGAAATAGAAGATGACATTCAAAAGATTGTAAAGGTGAGCTCGAAATCTCTGTAGTACAGTGGGCAGTAAACAATTGCTTATAATTAATCTTACTCAGGAATAATTCTGTGTATGAAACCCTATCTCGTACCTTTTTTAGGACATTTTATTCTTTTGTATAGTAGATCAATTACTATACACATGATTGATTAGATATTGTACGTCAAATGGTGTGAAATGTTCAATTGTTCATTGTAAAATGTCATTGTTCATTGTAAAATGTTTGTAAATTCTTTCTTGAATATATCATGTAAAATGTTATGTCTAGACGATTTAAAACGTTTCAAACGTGAGCTGAATGAACAGTGATCTACTTGTGGTAACCTTGGAAGCGTACGTGCGAAGCCGACATTATGGCACATGCCCGCATTATCGCTTGTTTGCTTGCAGAGCACTCGCAGCAAGCAGGGTGAAAACCGAGATGCGCAGACGACAGCGCAGCATAGCGAGGCGTCTGCCCTCTACACCCGTCTCAAGTTCACGAGGTTGCTGTTCGTCACACTGGCTGGTCTCAATAAGAGAGAGGTGAGAATCTAGCGCACACTGTCTGTCTGCATGAGCTCTCCGTTTAGAAACTCGAGTGTGCTCGACGGTTTGTGTGTGTGCATTTGCTCTCGAGTAGTATAAACATAAATGTGCCTCTATCACCCTGTTAAATTTTTGAAAAGGTTATCTTAGATTACTACTTAAGTGTAGAGGGGATTGAATTGAATTTACGATGATGGATAATTTCAGTTTTATACAGGCGTTTTCTTTTTGATCTCGACCAAATGATCAAAGTTTTGGTTGTGTTATCTCCAAGCGGCCAGATGGGAAAATCAAAATCTTATTGATGCTCGAAGCGATAAGGTTTTGTGGCACATGGTGTATATAGTGTAAAGTTCTGTTGTGGCTGTCTACAAAAATGTGATTTTCTTCTCAAAATTAAGTGACTACCCGAATGCGATAACGTAACGGTCAATTGCCATTTTAGCATAATATTACAGCCATGTGTGTGAATTTGTAGGACATTACTAGCACAGTAGGAAAGCGCAGCATAGCGAGTCGTCTGCCCTCTACACCCGTCTCAAGTTCACGAGGATGAGCATAATATTACAGCCATATGTGTGAATTTGTAGGACATTACTAGCACAGTAGGAGATGTCAAGAAATACCTAAACCAGTGTAAAGAGTTGCTGCAGTCAATGCTAACCAGTGTTGACCTGGGAGTTCAACCAGTGCCAACACAGGACACCAGCAGTACAGGTATGCACTGAAAAATATACTAGTCGTGCTTGTATGCAATAGAGATGCTACACCGTGTAGCTTGTTTATTTTATTGCACTGCAGCTTTAATTGTAAATTAATCCATCTAGCAATACGCACGTGTAGTTGTACTATCGCCCATTATATAATAATAATAATAATGATGAAAAGAAGAAGAAGAGGAAGAAGCAGATAACAACAACAATAATAACAACAACAGCAAGAACAACCACAACCACAACAACAACAACAACAACAACAACAACAACAACAACATCACGGTAAGCGGTAATAATGATGACACATTCTTCTTTATTGTACGTGTATTGTCTGTACGTGTGTCGTCTGTACGTGGGTCATCTGTGAGTGCGTGTGTCGTCTGTGAGTACGTGTGCCGTCTGTGAATACGTGTGTCGTCTGTACGTGTGTCGTCTGTGAGTGCGCGTGTCGTCTGTGAGTACGTGTGTCGTCTGTGAATACGTGTGTCGTCTGTACGTGTGTCGTCTGTGAGTACGTGTGTCGTCTGTGAGTACGTGTGTCGTCTGTGAGTACGTGTGTCGTCTGTGAGTACGTGTGTCGTCTGTGAGTACGTGTCGTCCTGTGAGGCCGTGTGTCGTCCTGTGTATACGTGAAATGTCGTCGACGTTGTGCTCGTCTCAGTGAGTGACGTGTGTCGTCTTGTACGATGTGTCATGCTGTGAGTCCGTGTGTCGTCGGCTGAGTACGTAGTGTCATACTGTGAGTACGTGCGTGTGGACTCGTGTCCATCTGTGAGTACGTGTGTCGTCTTGAGTACGTGTGATCGTGCTGAGCTACGTTGATCTGTGAGTACGTGTGTCCGTCTGTGAGTACGTGTGTCGTCTGTGAGTAGTGCGTCTGTGGTACGTTCGTGCTGTGAGTAGCGTGTGTCGTGCTGTGACTACGTGTGTCGTCTAGCGTACCGTGTGTCGTCTGTGGAGTACGCGTGTCGTCTGTGAGTACGTGTGTCGTCTGTGAGTACGTGGTGCCGTCCTGTCGTCTGTGAGTACGTGTGCCGTCTGCTACTGTGTCCGTCGTGAGTACGTGTGTCGTCTGTAGTACGCGTGTCGGCTGTGAATAGCGTGTGTCCCGTCTGTGACTACGCGTGTGTCGTCTGTGTTAGTACACGCGTGTCGTCTGTGAGTACGTGTGTACCTGTGGACTGGCGCGTGTGTCGTGTACGTTTGCTGAGTACGTTGTCGTCTGTGAGTACGTGTGTGTCTGACGTACTCGCTGGCAATACGTGTGTCGTCTGTACGCATGTGTGCGTCTGTGAGTGCGCGTGTCGTCTGTGAGACGTGTGCGTCTGAGTGCGCGTGTCGGTCTGGTGAAGTACGTGTGGCGTCTGCTGAGATAGGTGTGTCGTCTGTACGATGTGTCGTCTGTGAGTGCGCGTGTCGTCTGTGACTACGTGTGTCGTCTGTGAGTACGCGTGTCGTCTGTGAGTGCGCTGTGTCGTCTGTGAGTAGTCGCGTGTCGTCTTGAGTCACGCGTGTCTGTCTCGTGAGTACGTTGGTGGTCTTTGTAATACCGCTGTGTTGTCCGTCTGTTACGCGGTGGTGTCCGTGCGGTGGGTTTGGTTTGGTGGGGAGGTGGCAGCCGTGTCGTCTGTGACTACGTGTGTCGTCTGTGGAGTAACGTGTGCCACTCGTGACTACGTGTGTCGTCTGTGAGTACGTGTGCCGCTGTGAGTACGTGTGTCGTCTGTGAGTACCGGTGCCCCGTCTGTGAATACGTGGTGTCGGTCTGTACGTGTGTCGTCTGTGAGTACGCTGTGTCGTCTGTGAGTACGTGTGTCGCTGTGATGTACGTGTGCCATCTGTGAGTACGTGTGCCGTCTTGTGAATACGGTGTGTCGTTGTGAGTACGCGTGTCGTCTGTCAGCTACGTTCGTCGTCTGGAGTACGTGTGTCGTCTGCTGAAGTACGTGTGTCGTCTGTGAGTACGCGTGTGTGATCATGTGAGTACCGCGGTCGTCTGTGAGTACGCGAATGTCCGTCTGTGAGGCCGTACTAGCCCGTGTCGTCTGTGAGTACGTGTGTCGTCTGGTGAGTACGTGTGTCGTCTGTGATACGCGTGTCGTCTGTGAGTACGCGTGTCGTTCGTGAGTACCGTGTGTCGTCTGTGAGTACGCGTTCGTCCTTTGGAAGTGTGTCGTCTGTGAGTACGTGTTGCGTCTTGAGTACGGTGTCTGCTCGTGAAGTACGTGTGTCGTCTGTGAGTACTATGTGTTCGTCTGTGAATACGGATTGTGTCGCTCTGTGAGTAACAGTTGTCGTCTGTACGTGTGTCGTCTGTGAGTACGTGTGTCGTCTGGTGAGTAGTGTGTCTGGTGTCCGGTTGTCTGTGAATACCTTTGCGGTCTCTGTGAGTACTGTGCCGTCTGTGAGTACGTGTGCTGCGTCTGTGATGCGCCGTGTGTCGGCGTTGAGTAACGTGTGTCGTCTTGCGGTGTATGTTACGCGTGTCGTTCTGTGAGTACGTGTGTCGTCTGCTGAATACGTGTGTGCCGTCTGTACGTGTGTCGTCTGCGACGTACGTGTGCCGTCTGTGAGTACGCGTTCTGTCTGTGAGTTATGTGTGTCATCTGTGAGTTAACGTGTGCCATCTGTGAGTACGTGTGTCGTCTGTGAGTACGCGTGTTGTCTGTGAGTATGTGTGCCATCTGTGAGTACGTGTGTCGTCTGTGAGTACGTGTGTCATCTGTTACGTGTGTCGTCTTGAGACCGTGTGTCGTCTGTGAGTACGTGTGTCGGTCTGTGAGTACGTTGTGTCGTCTGTGAGTACGCGTGTCGTCTGTACGTGTGTCGTCTGTGAGTGCGCGTGTCGTCTGTGAGTGCGCGTGTCGTCTGTGAGTACGCGTGCCGTCTGTGAGTACGTGTGTCGTCTGTGAGTACGTGTGTCATCTGTGAGTACGTGTGTCATCTGTGAGTGCGCGTGTCGTCTGTGAGTACGCGTGCCGTCTGTGAGTACGGAGTGTCTCTGTGAGTACGTGTGTCGTCTGTGATGTACGTGTGATGCGTCTGTGAGTACGTGTGGTCGTCTGTGACTACGTGTGTCGGTCTGTGAGTACGTTTGTCGTCTGTGAGTGCGCGTTGTCGTCTGTGAGTACGTGTGTCGTCTGTGACTACGTGTGTCGTCTGTGAGTACGTGTGTCGTCTGTGAGTACGTGTGTCGTCTGTGACTACGTGTGTCGTCTGTGAGTACGTTTGTCGTCTGCTGTGACTACGTGTGTCGTCTGTACACGTTTCGTCTGCGTTGCATTGACCTACCCGACCGGGATGGGATTGTACCATCACCATTATATATATAATAATAAATAATAATAATAATAACGATAACGATAAACTCGGTTTGCCCCGGGTAGCCGTGTCGTACATGTAGTAGTGAGAACGTTTCGCCTGTGTTGCAGTGACCTATCCGACCGTGATGGGATTCGAGCCGCTCGTGAACCAGCGCCTGCTCCCACCGACGTTCCCGCGCTACACGCGCATCCGCTCGCGCGAAGAGACGCTCGTCTACCTCGACAAGCTCATGTCGCGCGTAGAGCACGTCTGCAACGTCGTCGGCTGCAGCGGCTTCCACGGAGTGCTGGTGAGAGCGCGAGCGTCGCGTGTGAGAATCTACCTATTATATATCGTAGGGGCCCTCCCTCGTGTGCGACCCTCCTTCAAGTTCATGTATGGCTCTCCCTCACGCGCGCAGTCTACCCACCTTCACGCACAACTTGAGCCGCTTCCACGGCGTACTGTTGAGTGCGGGCGTCGCTAGCGAGGATCTCCCTATACAATATCGTAGAGGTCTTCCCCATCGTCGCGGCCCACCCCCAAGCGCGGCCCTCCCTCGTGTGTAGCCCTCCCTCCTGCACGGGTCCTACACCCGCGTGCGGCCCTCTCTCGCGTGCGCCCTCCCTCCTGCACAGGTCCTACACCCGCGTGCGGCCCTTTCTCTCGTGTGCGGCCCACCCTCGTGCACAGTGACAGGTCCTTACACCCGCGTGCGGCCCTTTTCTCTCCGTGTGCGGGCCACCTCGTGCGCACACGTGCACAGGTCCTACCCCGCGTGCGGCCCTTTCTCTCGCGTGCGGCCCACCCTCGTGCACAGTGCACAGGTCCTACACCCGCGGTGCGCCTTTCTCTCGCGTGCGGCCCACCTCGTGCACAGTTGCACAGGTCCTACACCCGCGTGCGGCCTTTCTCTCGCGTGCGGCCCACCCTCGTGCACAGTGCACAGGTCCTACACCCGCGTGCGGCCCTTTCTCTCGCGTGCGGCCCACCCTCGTGCACAGTGCACAGGTCCTACACCCGCGTGCGGCCCACCCTCGTGCACAGTGCACAGCGTCCACACCCGCGTGCGGCCCTTTCTCTCGCGTGCGGCCCACCCTCGTGCACAGTGCACAGGTCCTACACCCGCGTGCGGCCCTTTCTCTCGCGTGCGGCCCATACTCGCAAGCGGCCCTCCCCCGCGCACGGCCTGCCCCATGTGTGGCCCACACTCGCGCGGCCCACCCTCCCACATGACATCTCCCCCTCCCGCAGCCCTCCCTCCCGCAGCCCTCCCTCCCTTCCACCAGCCTTCCCGCGCGCATCCCACCCTCTCACGTGCGGCTCATACTAATGTGTCGCACCGTCTCGATCTCCGACGCTTCGTCTGATGCAGTCATCCCTTAGCGTGTGTCGTTGTCATTTGCAGGACTTCATGAGAGACTTCAGCAACAGAGAGTCCTGCGTGCTGTCCAGGTCCGTCCTACAGGTACGTGTCACAGCCGCGCGTCGCCACTGCAGAGATGCCAACCACTACGATTTATCTGTATTTTATACGATTTTCTATTTTTTTTGCACCACTACGACCAGTTTGTATCAAACAAGAATTTCACTGTGATCGAAAAAAATAATTTTTTTGTCAATTATTGTCATTTTTTGTCAATTTATTGTTATTTTTTACCCTCAGAATGCAGGAAATTGCATCTCAGAATCAAAATTTTTTCCGGGGGGCATGCCGGACCCCCCTAGCAAACTCGGGTCACTACGTGACCCTCGAACTACTAATTTGATGGCCAGAAACTACAGATTGCTTCAAATATGTGTTGGCATCTCTGCCACTGTGTGTCGGTAGGGTAGGGGTGGGGACGATACGGGTAGCTCACAATACGATCCATATCATGATTTAGCTTTCGTGATACGTAACGGTAACGTATCATATCGGGATACGTTCGAGGAAACTAATGAACAAACTATAGACTTAACCGGTACTCTACCAACCCTGTGAATGCTTACAAGTCAGTATCGTGGAGCACTTAGTAAACAACTGCTTTCGAACGTACTGCAAATTCTGTCCTGCTTTTTTTGTTATGTGATGACACTCACTACCAAATGATATGGATTTCATTCAGTAGAGTGTCGCTGCGTGTATCGTGAATAGTCAGACGCGTCGATATGTGTATCATCATGGTTTGTATCGATATATCGATGAATACCCCCATTCCCTACATGTTGCATCTCTGACTCATGTCCGGGTGGTGGCCCACCGCTTGACAGTGCCGTGAAAAACTCGTTTTTTCGCTGGTTCTTCCTCTTCATCTTCTTATTGTTGTTGCCATTGTTATTATATAACACATAACGATGTAATTTTCATCCTCTTTCTCTTCTTTTTTTTTGCTTTTTTTGTTAACATATCTGTTGTATCTGTGTTATATGTGTTTTATATGCGTTAATATGCATTTTATATGCATTTTATTTGCATTTTTATGTGCAGATGCTGTACATGCCGGCGGATAAGATGGTGTATGCAGTCACACCGATCGCGGAGGTTCTTCGTGAGACTGCGAGAAACTTCATCTGTCCTCCGGCGCTCATGCCAAAGTAAGTCGTCGGAAAAATTATTATTATTTGTTATTATTATTATTGTTGTTGTTATTGTTATGATATAACATATAATGATGTCATTTTCATCCTCTTTCTCTGTTCTGCCTTTTTGTTAAA